GACAAACCAGCGGACATTTATAACAAAATAAACATTTATATACTTTTAACCACAAATCTTTCCGACTGAAGAAAGAAAGACATGAACATATTAGATCACGTAAATCAGGATATTTTAATTCTGAAGTGAACGCATCCTTTAAAGATAACATTTGCCCCATTTTCTTTCCAAAAGTGTTTATACACAGAAGGAGTGTGTTTAGGCAGAATGCACACACTTCTATTTTGCATGCAATGAAAGTAGATTTAGATTCACAGTGTTGGGGAAACTCATTACAAGTGAATTGAGTTATGTAATCAGATTACTTTTTCAAGTAACTAGTAAAGTAACGCATTACTTTTTCAATTTACAGCAAAATATCTAAATTACTTTTTCAAATAAGTATTTTTTCACATTTATTGACTGATAGCTCATGTTGAAAGAAATAAAGTGAGGAGGTGTTTTGTGTGTGTGTGTGCGTTTTCAGGGCTGATATGTGCTGATGCTCCTCACACATTCGGCTCAGTGTTTGTTCAGTTCAACTTCTGCAGTCAAACGTTGTTTCATGGATCATTTCCTTTTTCTGTTTCATTTTACAAACTTTTAAATTTACAAACTTTTCAAAAGATTAAAGTTGGAAAATCACGAACATGCCCAGTCGCTCAGTGTTCTTTTGTGAAGTATTATTTATTAAAGGGCTGGTTGATTATGATTTCACTTTTCTAGCTGTAGTTAGTGTGTAATGTTGCTGTTTGAGCGTAAACAACATCTGCAAAGTTACAACGGTTCCTATACAAGCGATTTATAGATTATTCTGACAGAATATGCTAATTAAAGATAGTTAACTCCACATCAGCAACATAAATTCATCAACTAACCATTCAGAGACGTCCTGTTGCATTCTACATGTTGTCACTTCTTCTTAGTCTCTCCATCTTTGTCTGACTCCGGTTTAAACATAAAAGGCAGAACAGTTTCTGACATTTTAGCGTGTCTGCGTGAGGTAATCGGAGCTGTTAACACACACACAGCCACTGCACTAAACCTAAAGCTGTTGAAGCTCCGCCCTCTGTACCGGGAGCAGCAGCTCATTTGCATTTAAAGGGACAGACACAAAAACGGTGCTCAAAAAATGACAACTTTAACATGCTATATAAAAATATCTGTGGGGTATTTTGAGCTAAAACTTCACACACACACTCTGGGGACATCATAGACTTATTTTACATCTTGTGAAATGGGCATTATACCACCCCTTTAATATATTGAATTATCCTTTTTTTTGTATATTTTTTTAAAATATTTTTAGTTTTTTTTTTTTAATTTTAGTAATTTTGTTGTGGTCATGTTTTTAATAATTAAATATATATATATTAACAATTTAAACAAGGATTTATGAATTCTACAAACATGAAAAACACTTCTGAAGCATTTTTTAGTCTTAGTTAATGTTAATTTCAACAATAAAGTTGTATTTGTTAACATTAGTTAATGCACTGTGGACATGAACAAACAATGAAGAATTGATTTTATCATTAGCTAACATTAACAATGAGTATTACTGTAAATGTTGTAAAAAATATATTTCGCACTGTTAGTTCATGGTTAATATATGAACTAATGTAAACAATGAGACCTTTGTAGAGGTTCACCCAATAACAGCACTGCTGAAGTGTGTGTTTTCCTGCTGTTCTTGTGGTGGAATGAGCGGAGAGATCAATATACTGAGGCCAGACACAACACACACTCATCTGATACTCACACAGACATCGCATGTGTTGTGTGATGGGTAGGTTTAGGGATCGGGTGTGTGTGTGTTGTGTGATGGGTAGGTTTAGGGGTCGTGTGTGTGTGTGTGTGTGTGTGTGTGTGTGTGTGTGTGTGTGTGATCGGTAGGTTTAGGGGTCGGGTTAGTGTGTGTGTGTGTGTGTGTGTGTGTGTGTGATCGGTAGGTTTAGGGGTCGGGTTAGTGTGTGTGTGTGTGTGTGTGATCGGTAGGTTTAGGGGTCGGGTTAGTGTGAGTGTGTGTGTGTGTGTGTGTGTGATCAGTAGGTTTAGGGGTCGGGTAAGTGTGTGTGTGTGTGTGATCGGTAGGTTTAGAGGTCGGGTTAGTGTGTGTGTGTGTGTGTGTGTGTGTGTGTGTGTGTGTGTGTGATCGGTAGGTTTAGGGGTCGGGTAAGTGTGTGTGTGTGTGTGATCGGTAGGTTTAGGGGTCGGGTTAGTGTGTGTGTGTGTGTGTGTGTGTGTGTGTGTGTGTGTGTGTGTGTGTGTGTGTGTGTGTGATCGGTAGGTTTAGGGGTCAGGTTAGTGTGTGTGTGTGAGTGTGTGATGGGTAGGTTTAGGGGTCGGGTGTGTTTATCAGTGTGTGTGTGTGTCAGTGTGTGTGATGGGTAGGTTTAGGGGTCGGGTGTGTTTGTCAGTGTGTGTGTGTGTGTGTGATGGGTAGGTTTAGGGGTCGGGTGTGTGTGTGTGTGTGTGTGTGATGGGTAGGTTTAGGGGTCGGGTGTGTGTGTGTGTCAGTGTGTGTGTGATGAGTAGGTTTAGGGGTCGGGTGTGTTTGTCAGTGTGTGTGTGTGTGTGATGGGTAGGTTTAGGGGTCGGGTGTGTGTGTGTGTGTGTGTGTGTGTGTGATGAGTAGGTTTAGGGGTCGGGTGTTTGTGTGTCAGTGTGTGTGTGTGTGTGTGTGTGTGTGTGTGTGATGGGTACGTTTAGGGGACGGGTTAGTGTGTGTGTGTGTGTGTGTGTGTGTGATGGGCAGGTTGTGTGGTCCGGTTAGTGTGTGTGTGTGTGTGTGTGTGTGTGATGGGCAGGTTTAGGGGTCCGGTTGTGTGTGTGTGTGTGTTCAGCTCAGAATAAGCCAATCACTGAAAAGTGTTAGATGTCAGATGTATTACCGCTATGTGTGTGTGTGTGTGTGTGTGTGTGTGTGTTAAAGGGATACGGTTGCATAACAGTATGGATTAAACTGTTTGTCTATGTGACGAGTCAAACTGCAGAAGGATGAGTTACAAAACACTCATTCTGCTGTTCAGAGAATCATGACCATCATTCGCATTACAAATACTGACATTTACCAGTTAAATTAGCATTCATTTGTAGTTATTCTGTAAATTAAGCCTTTTTTTTCCAGGAATGTAAAGCTATTAGCCAATCGGGTAAATGTACTGAAAATGTGTCCAGGTTGCATTACAAAAAAGGTAATATATTATTTTGCATATAGGCAATGAAGGTGTGTGTATTGTGCATATTCCCACCAGATGTTTCATGTCTTTATTTAGTTAATTAGGGGTTGCGTCATGTGACCTGAACATGCTTGCGTGAGATTCACACACACACACACACACATTAACTGCACCGCTGGTTTGTGACAAAGGCTCACACACAAATACACATTTTCAAACATGATTAATGTCACACTTGAAACGACATGGCTTGATTTTCTCTCACACATTATCATCTGCTGGAGATATCCAGAGAGAAACATCCATCATGAGTCATGCTTTGATTTATCCTGGATAATATTTCATCTGCACATGTTCTCTGCATCTGTTCTGGGGTCAGTGTAGTGCAGCAAACACACAATGAAAAGCTCAGCTGATCAAACATCTGCACAGATTGTAGTAAACATGTGTGATGATGCTGTACAGTTAACCAACAATATTTCCTCTTTATTTCTTAGTTTTCTAAGGCAGGGGTTTTCAATCTTTCAGACGCTCAGGAACCCCATCCTAAAATGTAAAAATGCAGCTTTTATTAGAATATGTGTGTAAAGTATTATTTGGATTTAATTTCTGTACTATACTGTTAGATTATTTATTTATATATTATTTTCATTTATTATTCCAGAATTCCCTAGCAGACCCAATTTATAGCCTACTGTGAAATTAAATGTAGATTATAAATATGTGTGAATATTATTTGGAAAATATTTAATACTTAACTTCTATTGTGATATATTATATATTTTTGCGACTCACTATGGTACTGTATTGATTAGATTTTATTTATTTATATTAATAAATTGTTAATTTAGTTTAATCTTATTTATTCTTATTTAATTTATTTACGGTTTTACTATACATTTGTCTCTTGCGGAAAGATAAATAATCTGTCAATAGATAGGCTAACACAACCTGTCTATTAAATATCTTTATGGTATTTATTTATAGTAGGGAAATAGAGATTTTTGATCATATGGGGATTTTCGTTAAATCTACATAATTTCTCTGACCAATAGATAAGCAGCCATTAGCATTAGGTAAATCACAGACAATATTTGGGGGAAAATGGTTACCGTTATTATTTTTATTTTAGTACAGGTTTCAGACACCATTCAAAATACGGTGACGTAGGCGGGGTCTTCCGTTAGACCCGGTCTGGATTCTCTCGGTATAAGGACTGTTTGACCGGAGTAAATAATACTATGGCGAAGGCTTAGCACTCATGTCACGCTGCTTGGTAACAAAAAAACTGTGATAGAAAAGATACAATCTAAATAAATATACTTAATCACTAATAAAATAGATTTAGATGTTAAAGGCTGTTTAATACCAACGTCATTAATATTAATGAGGCAAACCTTCAGCATAGCAAAGAACGTATGAGCATAGTAGACCACTTAACAACGGCGTCCAATCAGGTGTCCCTGCTGGCCGAACGTCACGCTGGCTGATTAATATTCATAAGACGGATTCTCACCGTAGTAGGGTCCGTGAATTTGCTCCCGTTAACGGTTGATTCCACTCCGCGTATTTTTACGTGGACTTCACGAGATTGCGTCACGTTGATGAATTTGAAGTGATGCTACCGAGAGGCACATCCATCGTCCGCTTATGATAAACAAATCTGCACCAGTCGCTGTCATTCGCGCGGAAATCACGAGCGTTGCCGAAGGATTACCGGGATTTTAAAGATGTGATATATTGAAGAAAATACCGAATTTGGATAAGTGTCTTACATCAGCTGGTGTATGTGTGTGTACACACACACACACACACAACACACGCGCGCGCTTATACTCAGGTGGGCCAACGGTTTTTGCGCGTGTGGTCTCGCGCACAGGACGGTTTGCGCGGCTCGGCATGATCGGTAATGCACGCGCTCTTCCGTTCGGTATCGGCACCATCCCGGGGTGTGACCGATAGACACGGATCCGTCATGGCGGGTCCCGCATTCACGGGAGCGCACGGGACCTGGATCACATCTCGGTTACGGGAGGACACATCATCTTCTTCATCATTATCATCGTCATCGTCCGCGGAGAAACCGCGCAAACGGAGAGCCTTTAACCTGGTGAAGCTACGGCAGCCCACCGCCCCCGGTAACAACAACACTCCGTTTGTGATCTCCGGTCATATCAAGCACATCTGCAGTAACTGCAGCCGCGGGAACGACATCCGGGACGGTGAGTGATGATGATGAGGATGATGCCGCGTATAACGGGTCAAAACAGTTGTTTTTATCTCGTTTATGTTGGCCTGTTTAATCCTTAACTAGCCTAGTCAAAGGGACAGTTCATTCACAAATGAACATTCTGTCATCATCAAGTTTCTTTCTTCGGTTGAACACTAAGGAAGATATTTTGAAGAATGTTCCCCCACCCCCCACTATGGAAGCCAATTAAAGTTGAAAACTAAATTTTCAACTGTTTGGTTACATAAATGTTCATTTTTGGGTGAACTATCCCTTTAATACTTGACATTACAGTGACCATGTTAAAAATACAATACTATATATACATTTAATTATTTAGCAGATGCTTTTATCCAAAGCGACTTACAGATAAGGAGAGCAAATGAAGCCGTTAAACTAACAATAGGACAACAATATGCAATTGCGACCCTTCTAACGCAGTACGGTATGTTTTTTTTTATGTTTTTTTTATTAAATCGCTATAGAGTAAGAGAAGAGAAAAGAAAGTAGTATTAATGGATCAAGTTTTAATAACATGCTTGATTAGTGATCATATTAAAGTGTACTTTATTTGTGTTACAAGTACATTCCAAATTAATTACAAGTGTCTTCGAAACATACAAGCAATATACCGTAAGTGTATTATATATTTGAGTAAAAAAGTATATGCTCAGTAATACCTTTGGCTTATTCCAAATACTACAAATTGCACACTTTGTCTTCAATAACAAATGCACATTAATAAACACATTTGACTTAGTTACATTCACTTTAAAAAAAAAAATGTTTTAAACGGGCTTTCAATGCTTTTATCATATGCTTTAATACTTTCTGAAAGCAATTTATGCCCAAGTAATGAAGTGAATTCCAAGCATGAAGAAGTAAACTTAAAAATTACTATTACATTTAATTTTAAATATACTACAATTTCAGGATATTTAATAATGTATTTTGAAAGTATACTTTCAATGCATTGTTACAATGATCATTTTCAGCTCACAGTTAAAAATATACCTAAATATATTTGTAAGTAAAGTACAAATAAATACACTTTTAAAAAATAAATAGAATTTTCACTTCATGTATATTTTTCTCTCATATTTTTAGAAAATATAGCCTACTAAAGTACAATTATTTTAAACTGTGTTAAAATGTGTGAAAATAGGTAAAAGCATGGTGCTAATACACTTTTAATATATTTAAAGATAGTAAAAAAAATTATTAGTATATTTGCAATGTACTATTGAAAAAAAGGAATATATTTCAAATACAATAAAGTATACTTTTTTCCACTAGTGGTTGTCCTGTTGGCAAACATCAAGTTTTAATTACATGCTTGATTAGTGATCATATTAAAGTGTACTTTATTTGTGTTACTGTACATTACAAATTCATTACGAGTGTCTTCGAAACATACAAGCAATATACCGTAAGTGTATTATATATTTGAGTAAAAAGTATATGCTCAGTAATACCTTTGAGTATATACAAGTCCTCCGAAACATGTAAGATGTCCTTTGGTATTTAGAAAGGCGTCGGCCAAATAAAATGTATTATTATTATTTTGAATTTTTACCACAGTATGAACTGAGTTTCTTTGTGTGTGCTGCGCTCATTTGTTTCGATTTCTCCCGAGAGGCTGTGCTAACAAGAAGCAACCTTTACCGTCACTACATTATATATTATTATACACTATATCAACCGCCACTTAGGGCCTACCTTATATGTTTAAAGTCAAAGTCAATCTGGTGTTTCTGTGTTTTCCTAGTTATTTTTTGTTATTGCCATTTTAATCAGGCTACTTGTCCGATCTCCTGTCCCGGACAAGCATTAATGTCGAGCCCTGTGTTATGTTTTTCAGCTTTCCGTATTTCCATAAATTACACAGCAGCCGCAATGTTTACAATTAACATTTAAGTTCATAATTTTAATTCCTTGCACTTTTGACAATCTCATCTATTAACTACCAACACTAGATACTGCAATACATATTACATTGGTGTCATATTCACTGTAAAACAGAAACAAATCTAATTCAATGCACAGCAAAGAGCTTTGTGGTGGGGTTGTGATCTAGTGGTGGGGTTGTGAATTGCACCCAACAGAAGTTACGGTGGCCGACAGGAAGTGATGTCGTCGTCTGAGACAGCAGAGAGTAGCAGTTAAGCAATGAGCTTTCTGTACAAAGATAAATTAAGAAATTATGTTCACTTAATTATTCAGTAAAACGATGTTATTGTTACTTGTTCATGATTGTGTCAGTGTTTTATTCGCTGACTTTAGCAGCTTCTTTACACGAAGAACAACATAGTGGCGAAACGCGTTCTGTAGTAGTTAATAAATACATATAAATAAAAACATAACGGTTCATTATGTAAGGTCTTTATACACCACTGAAAACATTGTTATGTATATGATATTGCATTCCTGTCAAGAGATCCTCTTAAATATTACACACTGCACCTTTAATTGGTTAAACAACGAATTGTCCTCTCTCTCTCTTTCTTTTGAGCTTAAACGGACATATTCACGCAAAATTAAGTCAAACTGCCCGGTAGCGATATTTTTTTTCACAGGATGGTAGGGGAAGACTCATGAATATTCATTAGGGAACTCATCCCTGATTGGTCTTAACCCCAGTGACGGATAGGTTTAGGGGCGGGGTTAGGGGTAGGTCATCAGACCCCCAGTGACGGGTAGGTTTAGGGGCGGGCTTAGGGGGTAGGTCATCAGTCCAATCAGGGATGAGTTCCCTAATGAATATTCATGAGTCTTCCCCTACCATCCTGTGAAAAAAAATATCGCTGCCCGGTAGGCCTGTAGCGGCGCGTCGACGCTTCGACGTCAAAAATTCGTCGACGTCATATTTTTTTGTCGACGCTTCTTTATTTATTTATGTATTTATTTTTTTGCACCGTTCCCGGCAGCACAGCTCGCCACACACACGTGGGAGACCTAAACATTGAAGAATCGAGGACGAAACAGCAACCTCTTCACAGAATTCACAACAAAGCCATGCAAAAGTCCCAACAAAAGAAAAAGTCCTAAAAAAAACCCAGCTCGTACTAAATCATCGAAGGTATGGGAATACTTCAAATTTAGTCCCAAACGTAAAGGTGTCGTTATTTGCGCTCTTTGTCAAATGGAGTTGACATCCCAAGTCTCCCGCATAGTGATAGCGGCTCCCTGATGACCGCAAATTAGTTAAAATCTCCCGGAATCTAGAGCTCGCGAGCTCCAAACCGTGTAGCGCGCGCAGCGAGGGAGAGAGCGAGAGACCTTGCGCGTGTGTGTGCAAATGTGTGTGTGTGTCTTATGAAGCGCATGTAAACCCCACCCCCCGTCAACAAAACCGAAAAATCAGTCCGGATGTTTTTTATGAGCACTGAAAACATTAAAATGAGCACCACATCCAAGTGTGATAGGGCTCATTTGAGTAGCCTACCAAACATTTTACAGTGTAGATACTCTGTAAGAACCAGATCAAAATTGTTGTGCATTGAATGTGCACTCCTGCAATTTCCATGTTACAAAAAAGAATCGTTCAATTAGTCGTTAGATTTAGTCGACTAATCGATAAAATAATCGACAGACTAATCGTTTAATTAATAATCGTTTACCCCAGCCCTACTGCCCGGCTCGTCGAGTGTCCTCGTAAACACAGTCGGTTATGTGTGTGTTGTAACTATTGAGAAAGAAAGCGGATACGTGTCATTTATATTAGTGCATTCGTCTTAAAGGGACAGCCGCCTCATATAACCACAGCTGTTCGGCACCAATCTTAATCAAACAAAACAAAAGAAAATGGCTTTTGTAAGTTTAACAAAGATAAATTGTATTAATCAATTAATTGTATTAGTTATATTTGATTTATTCAGTGAAGACTGTTATTTTACATTCGATTATTCAATTTCTGTACCTGAATGCTGATAGATTTACCTGAAAAACATATCACTGCTAATTTCAGTTGTATCTTCTATTGTATTTATCTATGCTTGTAATTTATTTATTAGGCTATTTTCTATGCAGATTCACTCCCCTACAAAATCACCCCAATTATTCTAGAATGATTAATTCTTTTCAAATAGAGCTATTCAAATCATCTGGTGAAATTGTTTTTATATCGCAATATATATCGCGGAAAAACAAATTATCGCAATGTAAGTTTTTTCCAATATCGTGCAGCCCTATCATACGCAGTGGGAAATTATAATGGATTTAACTAAGATGGAAGTTTACTGTAAAATCCGGTATGGGAAAAAGTTTCAATTATATTCAACAAGACAAAACACATGTAGGCCTACTTTTGCAGTAAAATATCATTAACATTAGTTGTTATTTTTAGTAAGTAGAAAATATGAGTCACCTTGTGATTTACAGTGAACAACAGGATGTGATGCATCATTAAATATACATTTTATAATATTTATATATACAAATATATATTTAATATACAAAATAATTTAATTAAATATAATATAATAAAGAATTTTTACATTTTATATAATAAATGTAAGAATTAGGTATAATTAAAAATTTTATATTAAAAATAGAATTTTTTAGTAATAAGTACAAGGGTTTCATGTTTATTGCATTATTTTACTGTCGCATGTTACCCTGATGATGCTTTGTTATAGTGTGCATCATTTAAACTTGTAGTATATACAGTAAATATAAATTTTTTCTCAGTATTGATCATTTCTAATGTTCTTACACTAACATGAGATTGTCGAGTGTGAACTAATATGCTGGCATTGAACTTTTGGCAAGTCCCGTTTCATGGTTTGGTTGTGTTTGTGTGCTGTTGTGTGTTCTTGTATTCTGCGTCCCACGGCGGTTGTTGGTTCTGCTTGATGACCTACATCCATCGCTCCGGTGTGAGGCTGAAGTGAATGTTCAGCAGTAAAACCCTTCTGGAAAAACAAGCATCATTCTTTCCTTTTACCTTCTGACTGTTTTACTGCGCCGTCACACCGACGCTCCGGTGGAGAAAACATCCAGAAATCTTCCAGTTTTCCCAGAGGAATTTTCCAGTGCTATAGCCATTTTGGTTTGTGAATTTAGCTGTTATATAACTTCTATAAATACATTTTATATTTATATATAACACTGCCGTTCAAAGGTTTGGGATTGGTACGATTTTTTATGTATTTAAATTAAAACAAGTGTTGTCTGCTCATCCAAGGCTGCATTTATTTGATTAAAAATACCAAAAAAAAATCATATTGTTAAATATTACAATTTAAAATCGCTGTTTTCTATGTGAATATATAGTAAAGTGTAATTTATTCCTGTGATCAAAGCTGAATTTTCAGCATCATTACTCCAGTCTTCAGTGTCACATGATCCTTCAGAAATCACTCTAATATGATGATTCAAGAAACATTGATGATTATTTTCAATGTTGAAAAAATTATTTGATAAATAGTTCAAAAGAACAGCATTTATCTGAAATAGAAAGGGGGGGGGGTAATAAAATTAATTAATACTTTTATTCAGCAAGGATGTATTAAATGGGTCAAAAGTGACAGTAAATACATTTTAATGTTACAAAAGATTTTATTTCAAATAAATGCTGTTCTTTTGAACTGTCTATTAATCAGAAAATCTTGCAAAAAATTTTTTACACAACTGTTTTCAAGATTGATAGCAATAATAAATGTTTCTTGAGCAGCAAATCTTCATATTAAAATGATTTCTGAAGGATCATGTGACACTGAAGACTGGAGTAATGATGCTGAAAATTATATACGCGATTATATATTTATGTATTTATATATTTTATACGTGAGACAGTCATTTCCCCCTTCATCTAAGAAAATGAATGTTCTTTAACCTATTTTATTTGAGTTACCTAATGGAAAAAGTGATAAAAAAAGGTCTGTAAACTTCAGCATAATCCTGTACGTGTGACACAAACTGGGAAAATCCTGGAGATAGTTGCATGAGTTTTTCCAGTTACTTGATCCTAAAGGTATTTGGTCTCTGGGACATTTATTATGCAATTATTCACTTAGTTTCTTTACTTTCTAAACCATCTAAATTCTTTTGGCTCGTTTACTTGATTTATGAGCTTGACTTTTTAATGGCAGCTTCTGGAAATTGTTAGTGTAATCTAGTTTTATAGATTTGGTTTGTAGATTGACCTGTTAAGGGAATAATTCACCCAAAACTGAAAATTGTCTTCATTTACTCACCCACCTCGTGTTGTTTTAAACTTGTGTATGTTTCTACTTTATTAAACGCAAGATTTATTTTCTCCATGCAAAAAAAGTGGTTATTTTTACTCTTAAAAAGCACCATAAACGTTGTTCTGTTGACAAAGGTTTCGTACAAAGTGCTTAAAGTAAGTTGAATTTTAATTTTTGAAATTTAAGTCCTGAAAACGGCCATATTTAAGAAAAGATTGAAAAGTGCTTGAATTATTGAAAGACAATATATGTAAAATTAGTGTTTAATTATATTGGTAAAACAATCTTTTCACACAAAATGAACGCTACCACCCATCTAATACAGATATAGACCCATTTCACATGGTTATGAGTGTGATATTACTCATATAAATATCTATGTTACAGCTTTTATTCTTCAGGTCAATCATATATTCATGGAAATAAATCCGTTTGAATGAGGAAAGCGATATCTTTGTCATAGTATCCTTTCAATGATTAAAGTTTGCTCCATCTCCTGCACTTTATTATTTGTACCATTATGTTTTATTAGTTTATTTGTATGTATCTATTTACCTTTTTATATAATTGAAAATATAATAAAGAAATTGTTTGAGAAGTGAGATCTCAGTCCTTGAAAACCAAAAAAGTAGTGCTTCTGAAAGTCATTTTACAGTAGAGACTCTCTGTGAAACAGTCTGGAGCAAATTATGGCAGGATTTTCATATTTGTGTCTCACTCCTTAAAAGCGTGTTTGTGTGTGTGTGTTCAGCAGAGGGTGCCGAGCGTCTGGCGGCGATGCGCTCGGATTCACTGGTTCCCGGGACACACACACCGCCCATCCGCAGACGGAGCAAACTGGCCAGTCTAGGGCGACTCTTCAAACCCTGGAAATGGAGGAAGAAAAAGAGCGACAAGTTCAAACAGACGTCTGCAGGTTCGTCTTCTGCCTGAGGATGTTCATTTATACACTAGCGCTCAAACGTGTGGAATAATACATTTTTTATTGTTGTTGAAAAATGTCACTTATGCTCACCAACCTGCATTTATTTGATTAAAAATACATTTCGCTGCTTAATGTTTTTGTGAAAACCGTGAAACATTTTATTTTCAGGATTCTTTGAAGTTCAAAAGAACAGCGTTTTATTTGAAACACAATCTTTTGTAACATTATAAATGTCTTTATTGTCACTTTTGATCAATTTAAAGGTGCAGTCTGTAAGAATGACCACTAGTGGTTGAAATCGGTACTGCAGTCGAATTCAGTTTCTCCCGCCTCCTCAGACTCGACGCTCACACGGGTCGCCAGTTTGAGACACGCGACAGGAACGAGCGCAATGGACAATGAAAATCGGCAAATTAGCAACATGCAGTATCACAGACCAAAACAATAACACACATTCCAGCCTGGAAACACACATTTCAGAGTAGAATAACTGGCTGTGCAAGTGTTTTTCAGAGAAACGAGTATGTGAACTTAGCATTTTTCCTCAATATATGCAAACATATTTAGTAATGTTATGCTTTATTAGTAGGGGTGGTGAAAAAAATCGATTATTGATTAATCGCGAGTATGTTATGGATGAGTATGAATCGATTATTACATTTTCAAAAATCGATTTTTTATTATAAAAAAAAAAAAATTGCATTATTTTATTTTGTAAAAAATGTTATACCGGAAGTTGAACGTCACGAACGCGCCCAGTTCCAGTTAGCAAGCACGTGTAACGGCAGCCAGAGCGAGTGAGAGCAGGTGTGCCGGAGACACACTGGCTGCGTGGCGGCGTCTCAGCTGCGTGGTGTGTCCGTTTTTATTTCGGCTCCCATGTTAACAGGTTAGAGCTTGCACACTGCCTGCATGAGCCGCGCGGAAAACGCGTGCATGCTAGAAATAGAACCGACGCCTATTTTTCACGCGACACGCAAGCGTGTTGGAAGCGTTTCCAGGCAAAATAGAATAGGAAACGATGTTTATATGTCATTTTGTACACGAATACATATTAATAAATTACATTTTGATGTTTGAAAGTCTAGGTTTTGATATAAATTCAGATATCAATGTAATTTAAACAAATAATAATAATAATAATTATCGATTTTCAAATATCGCCATTATTTTTGCCTATATACAAATTTATGTCATTTTTATTTTTTTAAAAATCGAGTCCTGGTGTTCACTACAGAGGTCATAGCATAACATATGAATAAAATATCTCTTTTTTTTTCATTTGTTTCTTATGCTCTTAACAATGTGATTACATGAAGAAGAAAAAAAACTTTTGAAAAAAACGTTCTGGGCCTCAGGAGGATATAAAGATAATAGGCTACAATAACAACATAGTGTGTCTTCTGAGTGACGGTCCACCATCAGGCTAAATATAGGCTCTTTAAAGCTACACAAAATTTGTAAATGTTATTGAAATAAACAGACAGCCCACTTCCCTATTTTTCGGATTTTGGAAGATGTGTGATAACAGTTGAAATTGTTGTCGTAAAGGCAAGAGGCAAGAGTTGAAATTGTTGTAGTAAGGATTAACACACCGCTAACCCAAATGTAGACTGTCCCAAATGCGACGCAACTGACACGCAACAGAAACGCCACGCTCACGCCACGCAGCCAGTGTGTCTCCGGCCTAACGAGCGTTGCTTGCTACAACACCTTGTCTTTCTAGAAGAAAATTGTCCAATTTCTACAGAATGTTGGTTCTGATCTACTTCCTAAAGGAAATAAGCCTTTCATTTATTTGTTATTGTTTAGTTCAACTTGATGAGTCACAACACAATGTGATGTATTCATGTTCTACAGAACATAAGCTACATACAAATAATTCTGAAGTTATAACTACACGACACAGAAAGTGCTTTGAGTTGTTTTTACTCAATAAAAGAGTTAAGTAATTCAGCAGCTGACTTTTTTTAATACTGCAAACACTTTGTAGTGTATTTTCGTTTACTGTTGTCAAATGGAAAATCAATAATCGCTAATCGAGAATCGTTAATAATCGAAAATCGACTGTAATCGAATAGGGACTTCAATAATCGTAATCGAATCGAATCGGGAAATCAGACAGATTAACCACCCCTATTTATTAGAGTAAAAAAGTTACATACAGCACCTTTAATGCATCCTTGCTGAATTCAAGTATCAATTTCCTTTTTTTCTTTGTTTAAAAAAAACATTATTTACCCCAAACTTTTGAATGGTAGTTATCAGAATTTGCACAAAAATATGAAGCAGCACAACTGTATTCAACATTGGTAAAAATAAGAAAAGGGTCATGTGACACTGAAGACTGGAGTAATGATGCTGCAAATTCAGCTTTGATCACAGGAATAAATTACACTTTACTATATATTCACATAGAAAACAGTTATTTTAAATTGTGATAATATTTCACAATTTGTACTGTATTTTTGATCAAATAAAAGCAGCCTTGGTGAGCAGAAGAGGCTTACTTACCGACCTCAGACTTTAGTGTGAGTGGTTTTGTGAATGCTTCGCAGTGCTGGAGAGGAAGATGTCGACGCGTCAGAGCCGAGAAGAGCTCATCAAGAGAGGCGTGCTGAAGGAAGTGTATGAGAAAGGTACGTGTCTACATCACACACAGTGACATCACGTTTATGACGCTCTAGAAGTTTCAGAGATTTGGATCTACTGGAAATAAGTGGTAATGCTTCCTTTTACAGTACAGTTACCCATGTAAATACTATGTACTTATTTTAGTAACTACAATTACTGGGTAATAACTAGTACTTACCCTGAACCTACCCTTAAACCTACCCCTGTTCCATGTACTTACCTTATATTAGCAGTACTTTCTAGGTAAGTACTGTACTGTAAAAGGAAGCGTTACCAAATAAGTGTGACTAGCTGCGTTTCCATTAGCCTACCCTTCAAATTGCGCAAATTGAAATTGTGAATTGAAAATACGCCACATTGGAAACATGTCAATTTATTGCAAAAAAAACAAAAAAAAAAACGTTTTTACGCTCGCATGCGGTGGTTTTACAGGCAATTCGAAATAACTATTTCACAAAACTGCAATGGAAACCGTTTTTGCGCATTTACAGTCACCTGACGTAGATGACGCGGTGTGTTTGGACAGAAGACGAGACAGAGTTCTCTATTAAACTCATAAAAGGCAAGAATTACAGGAATACTGGATTCTAAACCTCAAAGAAATGCCACAATCAAGAGCTTGAAGCAGAAATGAGTGAGAAACACCTCCAGGGCTTGACATTAACACCCGCCAAATGCGTGTGTATTTCAGCGTTGGTGTGTAACGCAGTCTCTCCTACTGGCCACTTTGGCGGGTTGAATTTTATATAAATTTTTCAATTGTAGTCTTTTAAAAAGGCATCTGAAATAATAAACTAAGTGCAATCTAGTGTTGGCAGTAATATTGATTTTTCGATACATATTAATACTGAAATATCTGAAACTCTTCCGCAGAATAGATATAAAAGACACCAGCTCTCGCTCTCTAATCTCTCCGACAGCGAGTGACACACACCAGCCCTTTACACACTCGTTTCATTTGCTCCGGATGAATATTGTTGGCGTTTCAGGGCTTGAATCTGGCGAGGGATTGTGTGTATTGAGCACAATTTTACTCATTCCCGCAGATTTTGTGCTCACAACCAAAGTGCAGCACATAAAGTATATTGGCTATATAAAACAGTATAATGGGTCTGTGCTAGAGGGCTGCATTGGGATTGAGTCCCGCCGGGTCCCGCGGGACCCAACGCAAATCTCGCGGGACCGGGCGGTTTGAACTTTGCTGCGGGCGGGAATGGGCGGACAAATAAAACCCCTGCGGGATTGGGAGGTAGCCTAACGACATGATGGAGATGTCAATGATGTGGAAAAGAACCTTAAACGAGGTATTTACAGTACAAAACCTGAGCAAGGCAAGTCTGACATTTACTATTCATCTTCCTGATCAGTGTACATGTCAGAATACATGCAGGCCAGGGAAACGAAACCATGAATCTCTTTAACAATAGCAATACAAATACGCGTTTTTTTCCTGCGGGACGGGAGAAGACACAAAGTCAGTGCATCTCTATTATTGTGCGGGAATAAATTCTCCGAGTTTTGCGGGTGCGGGCGGGAGTGGACATACATATTGCGGGAGCGGGCGGGAGTGTAACACATACGTTGCGGGAGCGGGCGGTAATGGTCAAAAATTCGGCGGGCGCGGGCGGGAGCGGGATGAAGAAAACAGTCCCGCGCAGGACTCTAGTCTGTGCGTCCCATTAAAGTGACAGTAGCCAAATTTACCGGCTGCCAAATTATGAGATGCTATTAAAAATATCTATATGGTATTATTCCCCTATGGTATCGGTGTCCAAATTGTGGCAGTGAAGATGCGGAGTGGCTCGTAACTTTGGAAAACTACTCGCCACAGTGGCTGGAGAGCAAAAAAGTGAATGTCAAGCCCTGAACAGCTCATATGAGCCACTCACAGGTATAAGGGTCTTACCTTGCCATTAATGCTTGGATAACACGTCTCCTTCCATTAATAATAACGTCTAGTGCGGTGGCTGGGATATATTTAAATATATAAACCTGCCAACATCCGTCGCCATGATTTTTGGAAGGATTATCGCGAGAGGAAGAAATGGCGTTTTAGTCGCATAACATTGGTTAATGGAAACGCCGTCATTTCGCAATCGTTTTTTATCGACATTTCGGAAAAAATGCTAAAGTTTTGCGCAAATCTGTAATGGAAATGCGCCGAGTGAAACGTCTTTCTCTCTGTCAGTAGAGGAGGTCAGCGGTGGCGTGTGTGTGAGTGAGCTGGACAGACATATGGTCATCAGTCCAGGATCAGAGTCAGCTGACACCACAGCGCCAGGTGCGTCACACTCCACTTCTTCACCAGTGTAGCTTTTTCCCTGAAGTCCACCTGTAATGTCAGTCGAGGTTTCTTGCACCAAAAACAGACATATTTTGGTCTTTGGGGATCTTTTTTTCTTTTTTTTTTCATAAGGTAATTCCTGATACTGTACCTGTAGGAATGCTTAATGTGTGTTGGTGATATGCAAATGAGGGTGGTTATATGTTAATGAGATGCTGATTGGTGTCAAACATGATGTTTTTGCTGTATAGTTTCAATAGATTGTCAGAAAATGTATTATTTATATATATATATTAGGGCTGTCAAATGATTAATCGTGATTAATCACATCCAAAATAAAAGTTTGTGTTTACATAATATATGTGGGTGCACTGTGTATAATTATTTTGTATATATATAAATACACACACATGCTTGTTTATATTTAAGAAATATTTTCATGTATATACTGTATATAGATTTATATATAATTTATATTATATATAAATATTTTATATATAAATAATATTTTTTTCTTAATATACATGCATGTGTGTGTATTTATATATATACAAAATAATTATACACAGTGCACCCACATATATTATGTAAACACAAACTTTTATTTTGGATGTGATTAATCACGATTAATCATTTGACAGCCCTAATATATATATTACTGTTGAAAAGTTTGGATCACTAAAAAAAATTGTATTCAGCAAGGATGCATTAAATTGCTCAAAGGTGACAGAAATATTTTGTAACATTATAAAATTTTTTACTATTTCAATTTTTCAAATAAATGCTGTTCTTTGGAACTTTCTATTCATCAAATAATGCTGAAAAATAAAATGTATCACAGTTTCCACAAAAACATGACACTGATAATAATCATAAATGTTTCTTGAGCATCAGATCTTCATATTAGAGGGATTTCTGAAGGATCATGTGACACTGAAGACTGGAGTAATGATGCTGAAAATCCCAGGAATAAATTACACTTTACTATATATTCACATAGAAAACAGTTATTTTAAATTGGAATGATATTTCACATTTTTTACTGTATTTTTGGTCAAATAAATGCAGCCTTGCTGAGCATAAAGGCATGTCCACACCAGCGGATGACATCACTCTGTTTATTATAACCGCGTGCTGCAGTTTGTCGTCTGTCGCTTTAAATGCTCAAGCTCTGAAAGCAGGATGGATTCTGATTGGCTGAGAATGTTTTTATCATTCTGAAAGTGATTCCTACGATATCGTTCCTCTGTGCTGTTATCATGTATCATGTATGTTGTGGACTCTGTTATTCTTATATATTTAGAATGATATTTAGAACTATATATTTATCGTTGTCATCCTCGGTGTGAACGAGCCTTAAAGGAACAGTTCACTTAAAAATGAAAAGTCATCATCTACTCACCCTCAAGTTGTGTCAAACCTGTATGAATTTCTTCTGATGAACACTAAAGAAGATATTTTGAAGAATGTCAGTAACCAAACAGTTGACGGTAGCCTTTGATTTCCATAGTAGGAAAACAAATACCATGGAAGTCAATGGGGTCCAACTGTTTGGTTACCGACATTCTTCAAAATATCTTCAGAATTTAAATGTTTAAGTGAACTATTCCTTCAAGAGACATAATAGATTTAATATATATATAACTTTGTGCTGTTGGAAATACTTAAATTGTCCCATTCTCTCGTTCTCGTCTAGTGTCGTTCTCAGAGGTCCAGTCGCCTGGAGAAACTGTGGCGTGTCTCTCATCTCAAGCCCCGCCCCCTGTGAAGCCGTTGCCTAGCGACAGTGCTGACATCACTCACGTGAGGCCGTCGTCACTGAAACAGCCTCCAGCCTTACCGCCAAAGCCATACAGCAGAATACCCAGCCATCTCACAGGTGACGCCCATAGACGGTAAAACAATGTGCGTGACGTCACCCGTAGTGTTTCTGAAGAGCATTTTTGAAGCCTAAAGTGGGCGGAGCCGGCCGTCGCCATCTTAGCAGCGCGTCACTCCCGGATAAACGTAAATGTGCAGCGAGGCGGATTAGCTGAGGTCATGTGACACTAACAGATAGCAGACAAACGCTAGCAGTGACATCAGCAATCCACCTGTCACTCAAGTGGCCACGCCCTTAATTATGCACAACTTTAAGGCTTAATATAATTTAAACGGATGAGTTATAAAGAAATTCAGTCCCCTCACAGTCGTCATGAAGGGCAAAATTAGCTATATAGACCAAAACCACTTTTTGCTCCAGACTGTAAACATGTTTTATTCTGCTGTAAAGTTGGGCATTTTAACATGGGGCTCTATGGGACTGACTCTGTTTTGCAGCCGGTCTCTAGTGGCCAGTCGATGAACTGCAGTTTAAGTCACTTCAGTGTTGGATTCACGAGCGAGACCATGAAAACCATCAGGGAAAACATAACTCTGTCTCTTCTTCTCTTCAGAGACGCTTGCCAGACTGTCACCGCCTCTCCCTCCAAAGAAAGTGATGATATGTGAGCCAGCGCCCTCGTTTGCCCTCAAATGCCTGCCGTCCCACGCGCACACACTCGCACACGCTCACCCGCAGCAGTTCGCCACCCTGCCGCTGTCTCTGCACCCGCCCAGCCGCATCATAGAGGAGCTCAACAAAACACTCGCGCTCACCATGCAGAGACTCGAGAGGTGAGGACACACACACACACTAACACACACTCTCTCTCTCTCTCTCTCTCTCACACACACACTCACATACATACACACACACACACTAACACGCACACACACACACTCTCTCACACACACACACACACACACACACACACACACACTCTCTCTCACACACACATACACACTCTCTCACACACACAAACCCTCTCACACTCACACACACACACAGTCTCTAAGCAGCTCTATAGAAAACAATAGTGCAGACAATACACTATCACATAATCAGTTATTAATATTTCGCTGGTTCACTCTTGTTTTTGCATGTGTTCATAATTACTTTATATGACAGTCTGACCAAAAATAATGCCTGCACAATTTGGCATGTGTTATTTCAAGTAAAACAATTGACTCCAAGCACAGCTATGTTATATGCCTTCAAAATCTTTCACACATTTTTAATAATATTTGAATAAACAGAGATAATACATATTAAATACATGTAAAAACTTTCAGTATTTTACTTAACTATTCTCATAAGTTACCGTCTGAACTTTACATCCCTGAAATACACACCTGTCGTGTGCGTGCATGTGTGTGTGTGTCTGCGTGTGTGTGTCTGCATGTGTGTCTGCGTGTGTGTGTCTGCGTGTGTGTAGTTCTGTACTGCAGGCGGTGCCATCTGTCCTGATGGAGACGGAAGAGGAAAAGGAGAACAGAGATTCAATGCACCAAACTCCCGCCAACACACACACGCTCATCACACACACCTTCAGCACGCATGAGGAAGAGGACGAGGAAGATGAGGATGACGACGACTCGCTGTTTACAAGTACGAGATCTGGAAGATACTGCATGTGATGTGTGTGTTTACATCAACTAAATGTGTGTGTGTGTGTGTGTGTCACAGGTACACTGGCTTTAAGGATCTTACGGAAAGATTCACTGGCGATCAAACTGAGCAATCGCCCGTCGAAGAGGGAACTGGAGGATAAAAACATCCTCCCGATGATGAGCGACCAGGAGCGGCTGGAGTCCCGACAGCAGATCGGCACCAAACTGACCCGGTGAGGGACACACACACACACAACAACACTTTTGGTGCCTGCAATAAAATAAATGTCATCTTAAAAAATATATTTAAAAAAAAAAATTCAGCTAGTTGCCAACATTTCTCATTTATTAATTATTTTTAAAATAAAAAAACTGAAACTGAAACAAAAATAAGTAAAAACAGTATAAAAATGTCAAAAACACACATCGAAATTACTAAACAAATTAAATAAAAATGAATAAAATCTACATAGACATTTTAAAAAATAAAAATGTCAAAAACACATTAAAATGTCTACATATGACAAAGATGTATTAATACTAAAATGAGAAGTATATATTTTTTTAAATATGTGCAATTAAAATGAATAATATCTACTTAAACTTTAATGAAAATTTAAATAAAAATGAAAAAATGATTAATTTTTTTAATTAAAGTGAATAAAATTTACATAGAAATTTTAAGTATAAAAATGTCAAAAGCACAACAAAATTACTAAAACTTTAACGAAAATTAAAAATTAACATGGAATTTATAGAAATTGAAAAAAAATGAATAAAAAAGAAAAAACTCTACATAGACATTTAAAAAATGTCAAAAGCATAACAAAATGAATTACTAAAACTTTAACGAAAATTAAAATGAACATGGAAAATGTAAAAATTAAAAAAATGTATGTAATAATTTTTTTTTAAATATAAATAGACATTTTTAAAATATATATATATATATATATATATATATATATATATATATATATATATAAATGACAAAAACACAAATTACTAAAACTTTAACGAAAATTAAAATAAACATGGAAAAAATAAACGTAAAAAAAAAAAAAAAAAAATTTAATAAAATCTACAGACATTTTTTTTTAAAGTGCATCTAGTTAAGAATAATACAGTAGTGTTTGATTGACACAATCACAGCCAATCAGAACATCTGATTTTCATATGCAGCTGTGGAGGGCGATTTTGAACCAATGAGATTTCAATGTGGGCGGAGTTACACTTCTATTAAAATAGAAGCGAACTGGCAAACAAAATGCATTGCGTTTCGAGTATTTTGGTATTGTGATTAAATTGTACATGATCATTGTGTTGGTCATTTGTAATAACTGAAGCTTGTTTTGGATGCGTGTCCAGTCGTCTCAGCCAGAGACCGTCGGCAGAAGAACTGGAGCAGAGAAACATCCTCAAACGTAAGACCACCTGTCACTCAAACACACACACATCTGGCGTGCCTGAGCTCAGACTCAGTGTTTGCTCTCGTTCTCTCGTTCAGCTCGCAACGAGCAGGAGGAGCTGGAGGAGAAGCGCGAGCTGAAGAAACGACTCTCCAGGAAGGTGAGATTTCCCCAAATCCTGAGCTTTCCGGCTGTTTCTATAGCAACAAGCTATTCTAGGTCGCGGCGCAGATTAGATTAGTTACGCAACATCTTTAGGTGTGTTTGGTTTCCTCTGCCGAGCACCCACGGAAACACACGAGATATCCTCTGTTGACTTTAACCAATAAAAAATCGAGTACAGCTTTCAGACACGATTATCTTCAGCTTTTTTAGTTTGAGGCCGCTAAGGAGATTTTCTAATATAGTCTCATGGCTCTTCACTCTCGCTCAGATATAACGTGTGCTTAAACTCGCTCTCTGTGCTCTTCTCTCCTGGATTTAATATTGCCAGAAGCTTTCAACCACTAGACTTTCACGATTGATCTGACGGATAATTACGGATTCGCCTTTATTTCATGAGTTATTTTATTATTGAATAGTTATTTTTGAGTTAAGTGCTTATTGTAAATAGGTATTTATTGAGTTATTTTATTTACTGAACCGCTACTGATCATCAGATATCATGTGTAAACACATATCATAGCCTATATATTTACTAACTCTACGAACATGTAAAACAGTGATAGATGAGCCTCTTAACCTTTACGCTGAAGAGAAAACCCAACGCGACGTAGAGACCAAGAGAAACATGATTACCGTATTTTCCGGACTATAAGTTGCGTCGTGAAGAGGAAAAAAACATATATTTTTTATTTTATTTAACCCTTATTTAACCAGGGAAGTCCTTTGAGAACAAGTCTCTTTTACGAAGCAGCCCTGGCCAAGAAGGCCGCAATAAAAGGGGCTGCTAGTGTTGCGGAGCGGGCGTGTTACGGATACGTGGTGTACATTTTTTTGCAATCAAAAAGCATGTCTAATTAATTGAAATCATGTATTATGAATGATTAAACTTATACAACATTTAAAAAAAAAAAATATGAAAAAAAAATGTCACACTAATTCTGTTGTGTTTTTTTCTGGTAATAAAATGAAGACATAAAACACACATTTTATCATTTATCATCAATTTTAATCATATGAAATTAAATCAACCTTTTCTCAAATAACGTGCTGCACAATGAGCTTTACTGTTAAAATTAAAACATGGATTATTCCTTAATTTCAGTTTTGATGATAATTTATTTGGATTAGTGTTAGTGTATTATTACATTGGGACATACCTAAATTCTAATGTACAACAGTAATATATTTCTGTCAAGTTAAACCAAACTTTTATTTTGACGGTTTGCCGTGAAGACCTTTTGAGTTTCTGTGTGTTTATGTCATGATGATAGTTTTTCTCAAATGAAGCGGTTAAATGATCACGAAGTGACTTTCAGAGTGGATCTAGAGCCTGGAGAGGAAGTTCATGCACTTGTGGCCAAAAAACAGCGCAAACGTCACACGTGCTTCAGTGTGTGTGTGTGTGTGAGTGTGTGTGTGTGTGTGTGTGGTAAATGAAACCGCGCGTCGGCGCCACCATTCATTCACACAGAACATGCAGGATTCGTATTTAAATAGTCTTTGTGTTTTAATATTCACACACACTAGTCTACATCGCGATTTGATTTCAAGTGTACTGAACTGCTTTCTATTTATTCCTCAACTAAATCAACACTAAACCTCAACACTAAATTCCTTTTTTATGACTGGATTTCGTCTGCATTTAACCCTCTAGGCGCCACGGTCGAGTTTACTCGACGAGATGCGGCTCTGAATAAAACGGCCGATTTTGTCAAATTGGGTGTCAAATTTCGTTCGTCCTCCCTTCCACTGAATGGCTGACATGTCATACTTCATCCCCAAATCAAAAAAACGTCATGTTTCTATACAAAATGTTCGAATTAGAGCGCATTGAATCAGTGCGATCAAAAGCGGAGCTAGTGTGCGAGTGAGCCATGTTATCAGATCCTCTCCGCAATCGCGGCGACAGTGTGGTGGAGACTTTGTCTAATGCCACTGGGTATGTTAGACGAGGTCGAAGTATTCATAGGAGAGTTAGGAGACAACGTGGAGGCAGGGTCAGGAGTCGCAATGACAATGACAGCAGTCCGAGCTGTGCACACTCGGCGCGCTCGCGCGAGGCAGATCTGGGCGCGCTGCTCGTATCATCTCACTCATGATCTGTGCCTTGCCGTGGCGAGTGAGCTTTTGAACTAAACAGGTCTTGTCTACTTGTGTTTGTATGTCATATGAATAATATATATGTGCCCCATACATGGAATCAGAGTGCCTACTGTATTTAGTAAATGGAAAATCTCTACAGCAAAAGGCCAATCACTACATGCATTCGGTTTGTTTCTACCATTTATTAGTAATGATTTACACAGTTTGTTTACTACTTACTATATACCTGAGCATTCAGTATTGTGCAATATAGCATACAGAAGGTGATGGACATTTTGGGGGAAAAGAAGTGCTGCATTTTATCATTTAAACATGTGACTTTTCATGAAAATTCTATAATACAAGATATGACCACCATATGATGTCATAATATGCAAATTCGATGGGAAAATGTAATCCCTACATAAACTTTGGGTCTTCCTTAATATTTCTCTAATTTACAGAAAGTCTCTATCTTTTATCACTTTTAAGATATAGCCTTTAGAAATTATGATGTCAAAATCGAACGTTTTAGGAAAAAACCTCTGGCGCCTAAAGGGTTAAGGGGGGGGTGGCGCATTTTAGGGGGGGGGGGGGGGGGGGGGGGGGGAGGGGGGGGCGTTTTCGGGGGGGGGGGGGGGGGGGGCGTTTTCGGAGGGCGGGCCGCCCCCCCCCAAAACAATGGTAGGGGAAACACTGCACTATATAAGGATAGTGAACGAGTGAGTGGTTTCTGACACAGCTTCAGTCTGAATTAATTTTGATATATAAGTCGCTGGACCAGCCAAACTATGAAAAAAGTGTGACTTATAGTCCGGAAAATACGGTATGTGTTTCTGCTCAGCGACACTGGACATCAACCACACGGCAAACGCTAATAACTCTATTACTGTCTACTCTCTGTGTATAACAGTTCTATCTAATAACGTATCAGACAGGACTGTTGGACAGATCGTAAACTAATGAACACAGAGAATAATGCGAGCACTGTGTGTTCAGTCGTTCTCAGCGCCGTCAAAATAAAAGTCTCAACAACAAGCGTGGCTTACGTCACTTCAGAGTTCCTATAGCGGTGCGAACGCAACAGGAAAACGTTCAGTTCTCAGGGAATCACGCTAGTGGATAGTTCCCGGAGCGAAAGCCCCTATAAAGCGGCGCCTATGCCTGTGCTTTGTGTGTTTAGCTGAGCCAGAGACCCACCGTAGAGGAGCTCAGAGAGGCCAAGATCCTCATCCGCTTCAGCGATTACGTGGAAGTGGCCGAAGCTCAGGATTACGACCGGCGCGCGGACAAACCCTGGACGAGACTCACCGCTGCCGATAAGGTTCATCCGCATCATCACACTGCACAACATCACACGCTTTCTGCCAATGTGGCGGCGAGGCCGAGGGCTGCGAGAGAGGTCTCGCATCTCTCACCACAGTGGAGAGAGAGAGAGGACCAGGCCTGCACTTGTGTTTTATTACGTGACAGCAGTCGTCCGTGAGGCGCTGCTGTCTTTTACTTTCGTTTAGAATTTCTTTATTTTACGTTATTAAAGTATTTAAATGTTCTAACTGCATTACAGTCAAATCTTTAAACATTTAAACATTTCTGTGTCTCTCACAGGCTGCCATACGCAAAGAACTCAACGAGTTCAAAAGCACAGAGATGGAGGTGCATGAGTCGAGTCGACATCTAACCAGGTGACCACACACACACACACAGTCAGTCACTCACTCAATAAATAAATAAAAGACATTGGTTACATCTTTTACACGTTAATTACTTGCTCACTCCTATTAGCAACACCACAGCGGCTTAATGGAAAGCTGTCACAATGCCTGACAACTTTGATGAACTTTTTTTGATCCACTTCAAATGTGGACTACTGTAGATGTCATCGAGTCATGCTCATTGCATTGTGGGATGGGTATCATGTTGTTTCTGAGCCAGTCTGATGTTCTCCACAGGTTTCATCGGCCGTAGTGACAGTGAACTCTCTTATGGAGCCGTTAAGACTTTGCTGCACACTTATCAGAAATCAGGAATCACACGGTTCAGAGCGACCGGATCCTCGGACTCGCGCCACACGCCGGTGTGCCGGTGGAGACCAACCAGAAGTGTGCCGATATTTCTGTATATTTTGACATGCTCTTCGCCATGAGTTTTTCTTCTTTTTTTTTCTCCAGGCGATGGCTTTTAATGCAGCGGATGATGTCGTTGATTTCCTACATGTAACTGAGAAGTGATTCCACAGTCCTCTTAGGTTTTAAAAACATGGAAAACAACTTTTTTATTGAGCGCAGACCACATTATTACACACAAAATATAGTCCACACTCTCTTGCGCTTTTCATTTTGGACATTTGTGCATCTGTCAGACGCTTTTATCCATTGCATTGTTTATCAGTTCATGCGTTCCCTTGGGAATCAAACCCGAGAGCTTGGCATTACGAACGCTGGTAATGCTACTAGAGATGCATGGATGTTTTTCAAAATCACAAAAACGTCTTAAAAGAGGACCTATTATGGCTTGAATGTTATGTTCAACGAGTCGGTGTTTCCCAAAAACACAGTTTTAACGAACATTCGCAGAGTTGTGTGTTTGAGCGGCGAATCTCGACCTAGAAGCAGAGTCATGTTTTCATGTCATGTGGACTCAATAAATCCTGATCATGAGCAAAATTAGCAAGCGGACATTCAGTGCAACCTGTGTCTTTTATTTAGAATACATACAAATGTCATTTACGTCTTTTAGTTTGTAGAGAGATTTAAAGCGTCGTGTTTGAAGAGTGCGCATGTGTGAACGAGCTCTAGTGTGAGAATGAGTCTATGAGTGAATCTGGAAATAAAGCAAAATAACTGAGAAAAATTGAAATATTCCTCAGATGTCTGTAATTTATAGCAAAACATCTAGCGTTAATTTGATCTCAAACGGATTCATTAACAGTAGTCATTACTCCACACGTGCGTGACATCATTAACCAACGTGGTTCAGCGACCAATTTGCGACAATATGGTTTCGGGAAACAGTCGTGACTAGCGAGTTGATTTCTTCAACGATGCATCGCACTATAGTAGTGAAGCACGAGTTACAGTGTTGTTCGGTTGTTCACACTCCTGTTTAGTTCCTGTCTCTATGAAGCCCCTCCTTCTGAAAAGCACACTGTGCTCTGATTGGTCGGCTGGAGCAGTGTGTTGTGATTGGTCGAGAGCTTTGCGTGTGTTTAGGAAATGCCCCGCCCCTTTCCATAACCACCAGTGTAACACACTACTAACTAACTCAACCAGGCCCCGCCCCTTTATTCTGCGTATGAATTATTATAATGAGGAATATTGTGACGTGTTCGTTCCCGGGAGAAACTCAAGACTACAATGGAGGCGTTTCAGGAGTTCAGAAACACTGACACTGATATAGAGAAGAACTCACTTTTTCAGGCTCAAACAGCAACATCACACACTAAACACAGATGAACATGGACAAAAAGCATAATAGGTCCTCTTTAACCAATAGCAAAAAAGCAAACTTGTGTCACGCCAACAATACTGACCAATCACAGCGGAGACGTTCCCGACAGGCTCAAGCTGAGCAACAGGACAGAGCAATAATGGGATTGTCTGACTGTATATTTATGGCTTTTTTTCTCTTTTGTCTCAATATGCGCTCAACGCGCTCGTTGGTCATGTGATCGAGTTGGTCATGTGATCGAGCTGGTCATGTGATCGCGTGTAGGGCGCACCCTTTAAACTCCGCCCACTCTACAGGGCGTCCTGTTGCCAAAATAAAAACCAAAACATTCAAGAAACTCACAATAATCAGCGTTGCATTTTGTATTTTAGTAACAATGAACAGAAATTGTAACAGCAACACTTTACAATAAGGTTTCATTAGTTTACTACAATTATTAGTTTTAATGTTCATTTCAACTTTTACTTCCACATTTAATACACTTTACAATAAGGTTTCACTCTTTCACATGAACTGACAATGAATAATACTTTTACAGCATTTATTAATATTTCAACATTTACTAATACATTATTGAAATCAAAAGTTGTATCTGTTAATGTTATTTATTGCATAAGATAAACTAATGTTAATAAAATTAATAAATACTCTAACGAATGTATTGCTCATTGTGAGTCAATACATCAATCAATAATAACTAATGGGACCTTATTGTAAAGTGTCACCATACATTGTGAAAAAAGTATTTGTAAACATTAGTTAATGCACTGTGATTGAACTAACATAAACAAGACTTGTAATAAATATATTGCTCACTGTTAGTTAATACATTAGCTAATGTTTACAAATGCTACTATTGTACATTTTTATGTTAATATATTATTTATAAATATTTTTAACTGACTTTGATACTGAACAATCATCCAAAAAAAAAAACACAATAATAATTATATATATTTCTGTCTTTATTTATTCACACGCATCTGTTTTTGTTTTTCTGTGGATCATTTAAAGGGACTTTTTGAGAATTTTAAGCACTTTTCCAGATCAGAAGAAGCTTGTGTTCCAGGAACAGAAGGTTTGGAATAACGAGTGTATTTCTGTGGCGATCTGCTTCTGTAAGCGACGAGCATGTGGTGTAACGTACTGTCACTCCTGAACGATGTGTGCAGATTCTGATGTAAAGGAGCCTAATAAAGGATGAGTACACACACATCTGTGCGCCTCCTGTCGTCTCACACCGCGTGCATGGGCGTCCCGCAGTGCTTGTGCCACAGGTCGATGGCTTTGGTGACGATGGCGTCGGTGTTGTCCTGGGGCAGCTGTAGAAACACAACAGATCTTTACACACACACACACACGTACAGGAGCGCGTTTGTTCAACATCAGACACAAAGCTTCATTACAGAAAAGCGATTTTCTGGGTTCAATATAAGGTCTATAAACATCATTTGTAGCATAGTGTTATAATATAGTGAGGAAAATAAAATATTTAATTATTAAATATTAAATCAGTAAAAAATACTGAATACTGAAATTTATTTCAGTGTTTTTGTCATGTATTTTAAAATATTTAATTATTAAAAAAAAAAAAGGTTATACATTTTTATTTCAGTATTTTTTTGTTAATTTTAGTAAAAGTTTTAGTAATTTTGTTTTTTGTAATGCTTAGAATATTTTAAAATGCGGGTGCATATAATCAGCCAAAAAGGTTGATTTACAGAAAAGGGATATAAACATCATTTGTGGCAGAGCGTTTTTTATTATAATGAGGAAAATAAAATAATTCCTTGGGGTTTTTTTTCAAATCTATTTAAAATGTGTATTTTAAAATATTTAAAAAAAAATAATAATTATACATTTTTATTTCAGTATTTTTTTGTTAATTTTAGTTAGTGTTTTTGTCATGTATTTTAAAATATTTAATTATAAAATTAAATGAAAAAAAATATACATTTTAATTTCAGTATTTTTTGTTAATTTTAGTTAGTGTTTTTGTCATGTATTTTAAAATATTTAATTATCAAATAAAAAAATTTACATTTTTATTTCAGTATTTTTTGTTAATTTTAGTTAGTGTTTTTGTCATGTATTTTAAAATATTTAATTATAAAATTAAATGAAAAAAATATATACATTTTAATTTCAGTATTTTTTGTTAATTTTAGTTAGTGTTTTTGTCATGTATTTTAAAATATTTTATTATAAAAAAAAAAAACACATTTTATTTCAGTATTTTTTGTTAATTTTAGTTAAAGTTTTATGAATTTTGTTGTGTTTTTGTCAGGTTTGGAATATTTTAAAATACTTTTACAAAACAAATATATTAAAATAAATCAGTATTTTTTGTCAATTTTAGTTAAAAGTTTTAAAAATGTTTTTTTTTCATGTTTAGATTATTTTAAAATATTTATGTTTAATTATAAAATCTAAAAAAAAGAAAATCTAAAAACATTTTTATTTCAGTATTGTTTGTTAAAGTTTTTGTAATTGTGTTGTGTTTTTGTCATGTTTAGAACTAGAAAATCTAAAAAAAAACATTTATATAAAAAAAATTACTAAAAAAATAAAACATTTCAGCATTTTGTTCATTTTAGTTAAAGTTTTTTGTAAAAAAAAATTGTTGAGAATATTTTAAATTATTGTCAAATCAAATTAAAAATATATATATTTCAGTTATAGTTATTTTAAATGAGAAATTTTGCTGTAGCTGAAAAAAAGTTTTTAAATATTTAATTTCAGCTACTGAAAGTTTAAGTAACTTTTTTTTATTTTTTTTATTCCAGTTTTAGTTGTCTATAATAACTGTCTATGGGACGAGAGCACTGGAGGATATAAAAGAAGAAGTACAAAACTGTTGTTCTGTGAAAGGACATTATGCCACGGAGTAATTAACATGTACTGACCCCAGAACAGTCCTTTTCAATACTAACTTTTGCACATATGTAACTGAATGAATGATGTTAAACTTACGTTAGACAGGAAGTTGTAAACTCCATCCGGGTGACTGATTCCCATCAGCAGGATCTTATAACTGAGCAAAATCTCCACGGCAACAAACACCAGAATCTTACAGGAGCCGCTGATCACTTTATCCCACACCCTGCCGGCCAATCACACGGCAGCACAGTCAAGCAATCAGCCAATCACAACAAACCAAAAACTATGTTCTGAAAACTGTAGAACAACAGTTATTTATATAAGAGATGACAACCGGACGCTACTCGTGCGACATAATGAGGTCATGTGACAGAAGTGAACTACAATTAAAAACGCATTAAAAAAATTAATAACTGTTTTTATTAGTCAAAAATAACAGGAAAAAAAATCTCAAACTGTTCTGCATGGTTATTGAACACAATTTTTTTTAACATTGTTATTATTATTATAAATATTATTATTTATTATAGTCAAAAAGGATCATAGTCAACCATCATAATAAAGTGTTACCGAAAAAATATATTTTTAAAAAATCTGTTCTGCATGTTTATTGAACTATTAAACCATAATTAAAAAATGCATGAAAAATGTATAATAAAAATAACAATAGTTGTTATTATTAGTGTCAAAATAACAGAAAAATTTATCTTGTGCATGTTTATTGAAGTCTTATTGAACTCACAATTATGAATGCATGAGAAATGTCCAGTAAACCAGAGAGTAACTGTGATTATTGTTGTGATAAGTGAGTGTGCTGACCTCTGTAGGCTGGACTCCGGCAAACACCCGGCGAAGCAGCGTCTGAACCAGAGCCGGTACGGCAGCGAGTGCAGAGAGCCGGACGCCTTCAGGTGAGCCAGAAGACACGCGTCCTCCTGAGACAGGAAGTGCTCCAGACTCTTCGGCTGCAGGAACAGGAAATAGAATAACATGAAAGAGTTCATCTGGACCGTTTTTCTGGAACATTTATGGAGGTTTTCGTTAGTTTTGGAGCTCCACATGTTTAGGACAACAAAAATAAAAATAATAAAAATCTGTTCTAGATGGTTATTAAAGACTTAAAACAATAACAACAACAACAAAATTATTATTATATATTATAGTCAAAAAGTAAAAACATATTAAAAAATACTGTACTTTCTGCATGGTTATTGAACACTTAAACTAACATAAACAAGAATAAAAATTGAAAAAATAATAATAATAACTGCAGTGTCAAAATAACAAAACCACAATTAAAAATGCATGAAAAAAAAATCAATAAAAACTGTTTTGCATGGTTATTGAACACTAAACAATTTAAACAATATTAACATTAAAGCTCATAAAGATTATTATAATAATAATAATAATAGTTGTTATTTGGTGTCAAAAAGTAAAAAGCAATTAAAGTACTGTATGTTCTGCATGGTTATTGAACACTTAAAATATTACGATTAATAAGTAATAGTCATAATACAGTGTCAAAATAACAGAAATAAATAAATAACAAAATCTGCATTGTTATTGAACTCCTAAACCAGAATTAAAAATGCAAATAGTAATAATGATAATATAACTTATTATCTAGTGTAAAAGGAAGTCAAATCTATTCTGCATGGATATTGAATTTAATTAAAATTATTATTTTATAAATTTTAGTGTCAAAAATTCAAAAGTAAAAATCTGTTCTGTAGGTAGTAACTGAACACATAAAAACCATTAAAGGGGTCATATAATGCCATTTTTGTACAAGCTAATATGATTCTTTAGGGTCTAAATTAAAAGTTTGTAATATACTTTAATTAAAAATTCTCATTAGTATTGTAAGAAATCACTTATTTTACCTGGTCAAAAACAGCTCTGTTTTCAGCACGCCGTTTCAGTGCATATGACTTTAAATGATAATGAGCTTTGCTGACTCCGCCTCTCTGTTCTGTGCATTCACCGTAACTCAAT